AACTTTTGCGGCGTTATTGTCTTTGATTGTGGTTATGATTGTTTTGTTATTCCACAGTCTACAAATCTTAATTGTAACAGGTGTTAGGTTAAGTAACTTTTGACTTTTAGGCTATATTTGTTAAAGATAACATTTTATATTTAAATCAATGTTTATGCATAAGTAATCTTAAAGACAAAAAGAGGATATTGGAGTTACTACGTAATATACATAATTATTATCACGAAACAGATAGAGCGCTAATTACTTACATGCATTTTTCTTTAGATTTTTTTTAAGTTTGTAAAAATTTACCCTATTATTTAATAGGTATTAGATACAGATAAGATCAAATACAAAACCCTCCACAAAGTAACTTACCTACAGAAGTTTTACAGCTGCGCTTAAATCATAACGCTGCTGTTTAAATCATAATTTTGTGTTTTGAGTAACTTCCTTTATTTCATTCCAGATAACAGTTGCACAAAGAAATATGGCTTGTAGCTTATGAAACAGCGTTTTCGTATGATACGGTCAACCATTACGTTCCCGTTCGATTTTGAGCTTTACGGTTTAGAAAATAAGTTTTTGCAATGTAAATGCGCACTTTGCCGCCTGTAAGACGACGCAGTCAAGTTACGTATTCCACTCGTACTCCGTACGGGCGCAAGCGAACCCCTACCTATGCAAATTTCGAGCTATTGCATTTGAGCTCTACGAGTATCTTTAAGCGGTTGTCGTACTATAGATATTCTTTTAGTTATTATTTGAAATTGAATAAGACACGACCCTTTCAAGATGCTATTCGATCTAGAAGAAAGTCCACCCATAGTCCTGGAAAAATGTCGCCTGTGAAAATGTTAAATTCACCTTAACTACGAAACGAACAATATCGCTATCGTAATAACCACGTCATAGCATTTTAATGATGATAGGTGATATGACAGTCCGTGATAATTTATCATGGCACCAGCGTGTTAAAATGCTATGAACAAAATTAATCGGTAACCAACTGCAAAATCCTGCTAAAGCTTGAATTGCTTGTATTTTTGAGTTGTAGAGGTAAGAACCTATTTAATATGAGCGTCCGCTCACCTAAGTTACATCTTAAAGCGTAATTATTTTGAATCTCATTCAAAAATGTAAAGGACGTTTATTAAAATAGTGTTTAGTAAGATTCAAAACCGTCTCTACAATGTTAAACTTTATAAAACAGGAGCGACGAAGTATTAATAAAGTTCCTTGTACTTATCCCGGCTGCACTAGAGGGGGTTATTGTTTAAATGAAGTGCATAGGTTGGGGTGAAATCGTAATTCAAATTTTAGTGCTGCTAAGGACAATATTCGGTGGGGCAAAGTTAAATTAAAGTCGCGGGTGGATTTGGCTGGCCGGTGAGCTTAGGCCGGCCGCCACCTGCGCCACTGAAAACACAATTTGTGGCCGCCTTTGTGCCCTGTATACATTATGCAATGTAAGTAATTCCATAAAAACACTCCGAGCCCAGTCGTCTAAATTCATTTGGGTGACGTTTACTGAGATGAGTGTGCGTGCTTTCAATCTTGTGTAAGAGTTGAGTAACGTTGATTTGAGGTAGGTACATGTTTGTAAAAGTACCTAACTCAAAATGTCACCACATCAAATTCACCAGAAAACGCAATAAGCTATCCACTGAGTACCCAATTGCAGGTGATAAGCTCGAAGAAGTTAAAACTATTAGGGATCTTGGAGTTGTAATGGATAGCCAGTTGCGATTCACGGAACACATTGACAAAATAATTAAGGAAGCAAATAAATCTCTCGGCTTCATACTAAGAAGTACAAAGGGTTTTAGAAGGCGTTCTACAGTCATCCTGCTCTATAATAGCTACGTTAGGAGTAAGCTTGAATACTGCAGCACGGTTTGGTGTCCAGGATATAATGTGCATATCAATAGGATTGAAAGAATTCAAAAGAAACTGATCCGCAGTCTGTCTTATCGTTTCAGGATGCCGAGAACAATTAAGGCCTACCCAGATAAAGCAAAGTATTTTGGTTTGGATCCGCTTTCTGTGAGACGTGTATATATGGATATGACCTACCTCCATAAATTGGTGAACAACCACATTGATAGTCCTGTCTTGCTGGGTCAGCTTGCCTATAACGTGCCCTTGAGAATACCACGTTACCCTTGTGGATTGTTCAGAAATAGATTTTGTAGGACGAGGATGGGTCGCAATTCACCAATTGTTCGTGTATCTCGTTTGTACAATGATCTCAGCAAAAAGTTGCCAGAACTTGATATANTCTTAAAAACAATTAAGACGGGTGACGTGCCCCTGGTGGCATGCATCTAGGAGGCCTCTTATTATTTTATTTTTTATTTTTTTGTTGCTTTCTTTTTGTTGTTTAAATTCAAAGTTGTAATTAGGTACTATATTATGTTATTGTATTGTGTAAAGTTCACGGGTTGCTTACATTATAATATTATGCATGCTGTGGTTATCGTTTGTGTGGGAGCAGTTAGCTAGAGACCTTTGGCTTAATTTTTTTAATTGTGTATAATACTGTATCTCATGTTGATAGCCCAATAAAATAAATAAATAAAATAAATAAATAAATAACGTTTTTGAGCGTAAAATTAGGTATACGTGTCATCTTCAGTAACATTTATGTAAATGCTATGAAACTAATTTAAAATCTCAAGTAATGTAAAATAAGGCATTTGTGTATTTTGTAACACAAATAAACCTAATAATATAATGTTGACTAGGTAGCTAATGTTGACAGCTAAGTAGGTAATTAATCATTTACAGCCTTTACATTAAACTCTACATTTAGGTCCACCCATGGCCTTGTGTTTGTCTTATAAGGTCTTACTACTGAAAATCGTGTCTATGAACTGAAATATTTCCCCCAAAAAATGGTATCGGCAGCCGTCTTAGATTAACGGCGTGTAAATAAAGGAGTGTGAAACAATGGGAGAGCAAACATGGCCGTAAAGCACGTCACAGTGCCCTATATATAATCAGCTTAGTGATAAATTGGCAAACAGCACGCGAGCTACGCAGCTGCTTCCGGCGAGCGGCGCCGCGCGCGGACGCCTGTCTCGCGCCTAATGCCGTGTTGTGAGCAAACATTGTTACTTTGTTACTTAGTTTGGAGGTATTGATTGATTCGGGCGCAAAAAAGATGAGTTTGTCAATATAGGAAAAGTTACAAATTATAATTGCTTTGCTACGGGTGTGATTTGAAATGTCTGAAAGTTGCTATTTAAGCAAGTAGTAGTAGGTAATTTCATAAAAATGTAAAATCAAAATCAAAAATATATATTCAGTTTAGACCACAAGTGGCACTTATGAACGTCAATAGAAAATAATAAAAAAAGAAAAAGGTAGCCCTTATGGGGCACTTTACATGTCTCCTTATCTTTTGGGCCCTACCAGCGCTTCGAGACAAACATATGGCAAGTGCTGAGAAGAAACGCCGGAACAAACTCAGTCACCACTTATTGCCAGGAATTATCTAACGGTAAGAATAGTCAAATTTAAGTACATCAAATATGTGCAGACTGAACTGACCACGCATCCTTGTCATCAATATAGTCTCGAACCTTGTAGTACCCTTTGGACATAAGGGTATTTTTTATATGTATCTTAAATTTGTTTATTGGCAATTCGACAAGGTTGTGTGGTATTTTGTTAAATATGGTAATACATTTCCCCAAGAATGAATTACCTATCTTATGCAACCTAAANGTCATCAGCAAATAATACTATCTCACAAAGGTCCTTTGAATAAAAAGGTAGATCATTTATATAAATCAGAAAGAGCAATGGTCCCAGTATTGAGCCTTGGGGCACTCCCATTTTTAGGGGGGCGCCCGAAGAGTTAGTTCCGTGAATATTTACTTTTTGTAATCTGTCTGAGAGGTAAGAGTGTAATAGGCTTAAGGCCTTGCCTGATACGCCATAATGTTCTAGCTTAAATAACAGAGTTTGATGATCAACACAGTCAAACGCCTTCGATAAGTCACAAAATACACCAATAGCATCTTTTTTCTCCTGCCAAGCATCGAAAATGTGTTTGATAAGAGCAACCCCTGCATCGGTCGTACTTTTCCCTTTTGTGAACCCATATTGTTTTTCATGAAACAGTTTATTTAAGTTAAAATGAAACAGTAGTTGATTGAAAATAATTTTTTCAAATATTTTACTGAGCGCAGGTAGTATCGATATAGGTCTAAAGTTGGATGGGTCACTTTTGTCTCCTGCTTTAAATAATGGTATGATTTACTATGTTTCATCAGGGTAGGGAACTGACCTTCGTTAATACATTCATTAAAGATATGAGCTAAATGGGGAGCTATAAGAGGAATGATGGGTTTTATTATGTCTGTTGATATGCCCCATATATCCTCTGTCTTTTTTATATTTAGTTCTTTGAAAGTTTTTATAATAACTATGGGGTCTATTTGTCTAAATTTTAAATACAAATATTACTGTTATGAGTTCACTGATCGTATGAGAAGCTGAAAATTGTTATTCTGTCGATCTTCGAAACATAAAGGGCTATCCAAATTACAATATCGTATTAACGTTTTACAGATCGCTACAATCCCGCAATTACAGGGAAGTAAACAAGCTTCGAAAATTCTGGCATAACCTAATAATCACTTAACTGTCAAATTACTACAAAATCGCGAGTATATTTGCGCTCACGCTCAAGGCGTACCTACAAGGAATTAATGATTAGTTTTGCTTACAAGGCCACACTAAAACTACGCAAGTGAGTTTAATGCTGAATCAAAGGGCAAATTTATTTGATTCATAATAGGGAGTAAAGTATGAAATTGCCGTTTTTTTCTTCAATAGCTAGTCAATAACAAAAGTATGAATATCTATTTACAGGTGTAAATTTTCAAACATTTTTCTTATATAATAGATTAATTTTGTTTCAATCTACCCACAAAATTTAAAAAAAAATCAGATTTGTGGTTCTAAAATTATCAGAAATGTATGGGAAATTGAATTTCACTGAATACCTGCGAAGGAGAATAATATCTGCAACAGTGCCGACGCTATAGCCGCTCCGAGGAGGCTGTGCATTGTCTATGACACGCTCTCTCGCCCCGACATTGGATATTCGTCTATGACACTTTCGCGCTCACAGATACCCCTTTCTTTAGCTTTTTCATTGTAAAAAATAACTTATAATGAATGGTGACTTATTTTGTGCCCTCTTCTAGTCTTCTTCGTTCTCATTTTACCTGAAAAAAGAAAGTAATTATAATGATTAAGATATGCTATTTATCATAAACACACAAAGTTCGATGCAATAACAGATTGAATTAAATAAAAAAACGAGTATCCAGTTCCCCAAAAAATCATTAACTTTATAACATCTCACAAACTAAACTGATCATTGACGAAAAAATGTAATAGGTACTGCATTAATTAAATATTCATAATCTCTGCCAATCCTAAAGAAAAAGTACTTCACAAGCACTGTGTTGAGAGGCAACTTGACATTCTATCATAATAATTGAAACGCTCGTTAAAACTCTTGACATAATTAAGGCCGACTTAAATTCTTAGAGTTTCATTCAAGGATCTACAATCCAATCTTATTTCTCGATAGAATTCTAAGATGCGATTGCATAAACATGTGTCTGCTTCACAAATACGTGGAAAGTCACTCTCGAATCGGATTCGAGCTAACACTCGATGCATCGGCAACTGGCTTTCCGATGTTTGTGAATAGAGAGCTTGATCTGGCTTCGTCTTTTATCGACGGCACCTTGTAGATGTCAAACCGATGTCCTTACACTAAGCACTGGAAATGTTCGAAGTAGATTTGAATATTCTAGAAAAAAGTAAAACTCGCAATTTCATTTGAAGTAAAAAAATTTCTTCGGAATTTTTCTTTGGTTGAGGCCCCTTATGGTTTTTTCTTGTAAGTACTTATTTAAATATAGTTACTTTTTTATTTCTTAATTTGTACAATTTTATATTAACTGTAGAGAATAAAGCTTCATTAAATAAAGCTTTCATACTCGTATTATTAAAATTGCCAAATTATCAAATTAGCCATAAGCCGCGTTGCGTTTAGAACGTTGGAATCCGCGTTAATTTGTATTCATGAATATAATCTGATTCTCTTTTGTCTACTGTCTGTTGCTTATTAATTAGGGTTGTTTTGGTTAACCCTACCTCACAATTGCGTAAGACACGTTATAGCGCCGTTAAAATAAAATAAAACCGTTAAGATAAGATCTGAAAGATAGCCAGCTTGAAACAATTGAAACTTTTGAGGCATTAACAGTGTTTGCGCTGCTGGTTCACTGATAATGGAAATTTGATATGTCGCGGCCGATGTAACATTCGAATGTCGGTCTGGTTTGTTCGCCTCATCGTATAAATAAGCGTAAAGTGGTGAGGTATCACGCGAACCGGTCATTAACCCTGCTCACGGTGTGGTAATGGAGGAGTGGGTGTCATTGCGACCGCGACCGAACACTTCGGCACCACGAATGTCAGGGAAACTATCATTAACGCGGATAAACTTCTATATCGTAGCACCCAAGTTACACTTCATCCACTCTATTCGTATTTGAATATGCTAATAAATGATTAATAAAGTAATTGTAAATTCAGGGTCTTTAAGGTGTTGAAACTTTAATTGGAGCACTCATATTTTAAAGGCCTGCTACCTCAGTATCGTTATTTACTCGAATTATTTGTATCTAATGTTACAGAATAATTAAGTGAGAATAAGATACATTTATTACATCCATCGATACTCAACCCCGGGCGTACTCTATTAAATTATTTTTAGAAGATAATTATTTAAGTGTGTAAATTTTGATATGGTTATACATAATAGCTTTGTATCTTATTAGACTTTCGTAGAACCACGTTAAAATGTGCTGTAATTGACATCGAATTTTCTATACTAACATTGTTTTAAGAATTTTTGTCACCTCTTATGTCTCCTTAAATACTTATGACAGGTTTTTATTTATTCGTAAGTACGTTTTATTTTAGTTAGTTAATGTACATTGTACATATGAATGGATTTACAATATTTTAGACTTCGCTAGGAAACAATGCAGGAACTATGTGACGAGTTAATTCTGAGAACTTAGAGTTCATAATGGGATTGACACTGTACAAAAGTTATTTATTTAACCTTAATGAATATAATGCCGAACGTTCATTAGTCCGAAAACAAAATAAAGCGTGAAGCAACGCAGCAAAAGTGAATTACGGGACGCATTTGCACAGCGCGGTAGAAACTTTCAGTTATACAAAAGCAGTTATAGCACCAGTTATAGCACTTATAGCTTGTTAAGCCCGTTAATTAATGATACGGTCGCATAAAAATAACTTGCAAAACGTAAACTCGTGTGCAAATGTTGGCGATAAAAGTAAATAACGTTATTATGGCTGAGTGTTCAATGTAATCAGGGGTAATTTTCCTTTTATAAATATTTTTTAAAGGCGAAATCAAAATGTAATTTTACTTCTTTCGTTTTAAACTTTAGCTTTTCAATTGATATAGCTTTACCTTGAGTATCAAATCTTTGATGATAATAACGACTAAGACCCGATTTGACCAAACATTTATCCAAGAATAACTCCTGTAGGCCTAGGATGCGCGCCGCGATAAGCGGTAATCACGGCATTTTTCGTTTTCGCCCATACATTTTGGCATCGATAAAGTATATCACGACGCATTTTCAGTATTGAAAATATGTCAAAACTGACGATTTATGCTGAGATTAATATTTACTCTTGTTTGGTCGAATCCACCCTTAGTTATCTAATCTTTTTTTCTAACGAGGCTAGCCATTAGGTGGGCGGGGCTGTGATCCAGTCGTTTATGGTCAAGGTTAGATTAAACCATTATAAGGCTTACATTTAATTTTTACGTTTGGTTTAATATGTTAATTATTATTGTTGTATCTTTCTTCTATTTGTCGCGATCATCATTAAGAATATTACTATTTTTATAAAAAACTAAACTCAGTTGAAATTATCTATTGCAGTAACTACAACAATACAAGCCGGGGCTCGAACGTAGAAGCTCACTCGTTTTATTCCTTGCATTTTTATAACTTAAATACGCATATTAATAAACTACGAACGTATACCATAATATCCGCACGGTGTCTATTACAGAGACATTAAAAGCGTCGATTTTTAAAACTATACAAAAAGATGAATGGAGCGGCTCCGCCATTGCGGAATGGAATGTCAGGGAAATATTTTTTTGAAAAGGTCCGCTTTTTCAAAGCTACGTCGTCGTCGTATTGAATGCGTTTTAATGAAAAAACATGCGCCGATTCGCAACAGTCAAGGGAATTAAAACCCACCCGTGCCTCGCTCCCAAATGCATCGGTCGGAATTTTCATTTGTCCGAATATTATTTTCGGCGAAGATTTCACCAGCGTTTACTTTGTAAGCAAATATGTGCGTTCGATCCATTTGTTTTAGTGATTTGAATGGTTTGGAATGTTGGACTCTAAAAAGTTTTTTAATAACTTTAGTGTATAGTTATTGGAATTTGGCGATGGGTTGTACAGTTGTACACATATTAGTTTGGATTGATATAACAGTTCAAAGATTCTAAAATTGTAGTTACCTATATTACTTTTCATTTTTTTTATTTATATTGTCCGTAAGCTCCTTTGGCTTATAACCTGGTCAAGGAATTGTTTTTTTTTAACTACTAAGTACAGCTTAGATCTAGAGCAAAACCGTTTTCGGTTTGGCGGTTTTAACGTATTATGCGTCATTATATTCGTATTTTGTTGTGCTTAATAATCAAATAATAATTAAATATTTTAAACATAATTACTCTTTGAAATACAATTATTTTGTATAGAATCATAACAACTCAAAAAGCTTTTATTTAATAAAACACTTTATTTTAATTAATTGTAGTAAATAATTAAATTAAACATGTTATATTTTAAGCCCAGCCAAAATATATTTTTGTAAGTACCAAATTATATTGCAATGAAAAAATATTAATAATTTACATGTAGAAGAGAAAATAAAAGGAATGCTCTACATTTTCAACATTTAAAAAAAATATAAACGAGTAACGAAGATAATAAATAACTTTGATTAATCAATTTTAATATTATTACACTTTTTTCTCATGACTAGACACAATGTTTAAATTATTAACATTATTTTTTAAAGACGAATTACTTACCTACTTACAATATTTGAGTATTTTTTTCTTCAAAAATATGAATTAACCAGATTTACCTAAGTTCTACATAAAGTTGGAAGAGGGAAAAAAGTTTAAAGTACCTAAGTAGGTATAATTTTATTTTTGGACTTATCAAATCTTTAGTTCATTTCTATTTGCAATAAAAAACCTTTAGAAATGTAGCCATTTATAAATTCCTACGTTTATAAATGGCTCAAGCTGAAGGTATACTCTATCTTTATCTACTTTGTTTCAAGATTTAGGTACTTATTAAAAATACAAAGTAGACCAAGGATACAAAGTTCAGTGTACCTACCCATAAATATTTTAGAATGTAGATTTCTAAGTACTTATACAGTGAAAGAAATTATTTTTTAAAACATAACTAGATCTAGTTCAGTAATTTTCTGATTTAAAACATCTAGGAAAGATAACAAAACTTGTTGGTACATACTTGAAACTGCAGTTGAAAAGTCGCTTTCTCAAAAATCTTGTCACTCAAACATGTTACTAACTAAAACAGTTTCAGTATTAACTAGAAATAACTTTTTATAAGGCTGAATCAACGTTCTGTCTGTTACGTATCGAGTTACGAAAGTTGTCGGAAAGTTCGCGCCAGACCGCGCTAGCCTGAGCTCGGGACTCGTGCTCTCGCCAGCATCAGCGCTGCGCGACTGAAGCCTCCGAACGCCGATCTACACGCTCCTACTGCCTACCTTTCAAGTTTTCCGCGATCATTCCATGCCAAAACGTTCTAAACACACAGTTATACAAACGAAATTCAGTTCTATGTTCTCTTCAATAAGGTTCTCAACAAATTTTGGCTAGAAGGACTTACTTCTATGTCCTGTACGCTATCCTCAAGGTGCTTTCTGCTTATTATAAAAGGCATTATGTGAAAGCCGGATTGCTCCACGACTCTGAACTCACTAGTAGAGGGTTCAAGGTCATTTTTGTGTCAAAAAGGATGTGGACGAGCAGCCTGAAAACGCGTGAATTTTTCCGTGCGCGACAGGGACAGCTACAGTTTTTCGCGACAAAGGGTACGGCCTACGTGATCTCAGTGGAGGGGATGATCTTAAAATGTTCTTAGAATCAGCGAGGATGGAAAAGTGTTTTGCCAAAACAGGCATTGATGTAGATGTACTTGTACACTAGTCGATGTGGACCGTTCGCAAACATTTGCCGAAGCAGACAAAATTTAAACGGCAGCTGTATTAAAATACATACACGTATTAAACATAACTGCATAGTCTCATTCATAATACATTAGTACTGGGAGCAGGCTCTCAAAGGACCTAACTCGAAGCAAATGTTGTTTATTTTGTTAGGAAAGAAAGCTTGTATACAACGGAGAAACGCCACATGTCAGAACATGAATAAAACAACAGCTATGCTTCAGACTTTCAAAAGTTTCAGCTAGAATTTTTCAAAGCGATATCAACATTTCTCATGATGTAAGTCGGTCGTTAACGTGAAGTTGACTCAATAATATTTATCCACTTCCTATCGTTCCTAATAAAACAAAACCTATTAAAATATTTATTTTCAGTCACAGGACAACAAGTCAAATCAAATGCATATTGCAATGAAATAATAGATTAGGCACATTTTTTATCACTTTAGTAAAAATATTTTTAGGTAACATAATAAGACATCGATTTTTCGTCAATTTCAACAAAAATCGTGTAATTTATAGGTAATACAAAGAGTAACTTAATCGCTCACTTTAACACCGAGTAGAAAAGTAATTTGCAGAACGACCAAATAAATATTAACTAAAGCGCCAAAGGTTAGTCGAAATAATTCACTAGCGCTATTTATGGGTTGTATTTGACCCTAAATTTGTACAATAAATTATGGTTTACTTTGTCGTTTATGAGGGCGAGACATAACCCCGGAGCATGTGTAACAGATTGCGGCAATAAGGGAAATTGTCTTTTTTATGAACGCCGGCGACGACGTAAAGCATTCACGTGGAGGGCAAGATGGCGCCTCTTACGATGAATACTTTTTAATTTTTAGAAGGCTTAGCTTTTTCGGAAAAGTCAAGACGCCATCCAAAATTAATTTGAAGATTTAAAATAACACAAAAAAGTTCAAATTTTAAAAATTCGAATTGCTGTTTTATTTGCTCTCAATTACTTAATTATATTAGTTCAATTCAAAGAGAATGTTTCTCTGCAGTTTAGAAAATTGGTTTGAACATGAACTAGGTACTGGAAACCTGTATCCGATGGAAGTCTGCTTTAGGTAAGTAGACCCGTAATTCAACAATAGCTACGTGATACAAACATTCATGAGTCCAGCTAAGTATTGCTACGATAAGCACACCTCTACTACGAGTAGTTGACATTTCTTATATACGAAAAAAAAATTTTTTTTAGATCTAAGCTGTCTGCACAAACATTACTATGAGGTCTCACAGTGCGCGTGAACGCACAGGGTGGCACAATAACCAATCACAGAGCTCTATTTAACGCTGTGCGTTCGATTTGCTGCTTCACATAAGCAAACATCGTTTGTAAATACGGGCGAAAATGGTCGCTACCAGTAGACAACCATCTAATCCGAGTCTGAGATAAAACAATAAGTATCCATAACTTCAGGCATTCCCAGAGTTCATCCGCAAAGATTCAGTCAGTAATAAAAGGTGTTCTTTTAAATTCAGGTCATGTGAGTACTTTGTATAAGTCGTGCCCGAGCCATTTGTCTTTCGTACCTGAACGGTGTCCACTGCGAACGGGATCCAAAGCTAATTTCACGGGGTATTTCTCCTACTGGAAGAAAACGCCTTTAGTGCACTCTAGTGTAAAGTACAATTAATCCGTTTTTTTTGCTCTACCACAGGTAACTGTAGCAACGTCTGAAACTTGCCGAAATAAATGGAGTCGCTCATAAATTAAAATTAAACAAAGTTTTTTTTAATTTTTATTAAAAAATGTTCAACCACTCTAATCTAATAGAGAATAATTGAAAAAATCATAAGTTCAGCTTATTTTTCTATTCTAGAGCCAGATCTTCAAAAATAGATTTTTAACGGCCAATAAAAAGTACCCATGACAATTTATTGGTTTTATAATTCAGTGTGAACTACTCTCTTAATAATTTTAGTAATTACCAAAACTCATTGAGGGAAAGAGTAATAATAATTACCAAACATACTCATTGTGTCTAAGACTACAATGCTCATGTAATTGTGTTACTGTAAACGAGAATTCATAACGCATTGAATTCCTGCAGACTCGTTCGCAGACAAGAACAATTTCAACGTTCATCTCAGACAGTATCTTGGAGGCCCCACTCGCGCCATTATTTCCTTGACATGTTTCACAATACGAGTAGCAAAGTACGGGAATAGCGGCTGTCCACATCAAACTCGCGATACCTCTACTAAGAGTCTAAACGCTTACTGAAATGCATCGCTCTATTTTATAATACGGACGAAACATTGTAAGTAGCATCTTATCCTTATCTTACCCACTAAAAATTATTATAAATGTGAGTGAGAACGGATCTTTCAGGCAAAAAGTACTAAGCCGATTTTGATGAAACCTTTAACATTCGCCGCGATAATATTCTTTTAACTACGTGCAATTTTAGCTCTATCCTAACCTTCATTTAAAAACCAACAATCATAGCAATATTATATTTTAATTGCAGAAGGACTTTTCTCTCCAAGCTTTTATATGGACGCTTGTCATCTCATCTTAAAAACCGGAAACAAAACGTCATAAATCACAGACAAGATGTTATTACTTTGCCAATTTCCCTTCAGTCAATCATTTCGCGAAACACAAATTGTTTTGTGACGTTTTCAAATGACACTCGCGTTCAATTAAAGTTAGCAAAATCTGAATAAAGGTGACGCTTGAAGAGGACCATTTTGACCCAAAATATGACCAGAGTTAATGAGCTGTGGTTTCCCCTGTTTTGTTATGGAAAGTAACTTTGCTGACGGATCTAAGCTGGCTGGTGACAGTATGGATACATAAACGTCCGTCTGAGTGTTGTAATGGTGTCGATTATACCAATGATTACACCGATAGACGAAATTTTTAACCGATAATGCTAAACAATTCTAGTAAAGAATTTATTAATCATTATATTGTATTTGAAAGATACTCGTACATTCAATTACACTTGTGTAGTGTTTTTTTTTTAATGGACAGGAGTCAAACGAGCAGACGGATCACCTGATGGTAAGTGATTACCGTCGCCCATAGACACCCGCAGACCCAGATTAAAAACTTATTAAATGTGAACTCATGTAGAGCAGTCGTTTTTTAATAGTTTCGATCAGAAATCAAATCAACTTAATACAATAGATAATATCTATGTGCTTTCCATAATTATCTTAGTACCTAAGTAATATTTAAGACGCTTTAATTATACAAAACAAACATAAGTAGTCTTCCATGATTACTGAGGAATAACTAAAAAACATATTATGTATTTGAAATATGGAACTGTAGCCCTGCTAACATCGATAGGTACTCTATCTACCCTTTACAACACTATTTGGTGGCACGCGACGCAACAAAGTTAAAACAAATCGACTATACGGTTCCGTACAGGCCGGGACGTTTTTATTTTGTCTGCCACGTAATTGAATTTTGTGGTCCGCCCGATCATACAGCCTCGGTTCGCGCACTAGATTGTTTACGGCATAGGTATGCAAATATTTGAAAGTAGATTTTGCGTTTGCTTCGATTGCGATTCGCCGCACTCCGTATCAAGAGAGATAAGCCCGGTCGCGGTACTAGTGTTACTGTTTTCGAGGGATTTTCTAACTTGTGAAGTTGGTATGTTTCTTGCTTTGAAATGTATTTTTTTTGCATAAGCTACCCACTGTTGTATCATGAGTAGTGGTAATATTTGTTGTGCCTTTGTCTATATTATCGGCTTACAAAGAACCTGAAAGTATTTCAGCTAATGCAGTATTTAGAAACTAGATCTTTCCTTTATTTAAATCAAATCAATGAAGTGGAAATCTCAAAAGCAATCACATTAAAATCATACGTTCTGTACTGTGCAGCTCAACTCACATAATATTTATTACAAGTTGTAAGAGAACAACGAGAAGATTTGTAAGGAAATAAAGCTACTTGAGCGTTATAAATATTTAAATCGTTGAAACCTTCGTACAACACTCCCATATGAGTACTCGTAATATCACGCATTCACACTTTCTGTCTGAGAGTCATGTTCTTGCGTTTTTATAAGCATTTACAAATAATGTTACAAGTTGCTGTTCATCTACATTGATTACTAGATAATGAGTAATTAATAACTAAACTAAAAAACATAATTGTCATCAAATCATAATTAATTGGTGGAGTAAACAGTGTGCTATTTGAATTCTATAGGAAGTTTCTCTACTATTCATACTAAGTACCTATCAATTCTTATGGTATATTGTGCATGATGCTTTCTTGAACTACGAATATTGACACATTTTCATGAAAAGACCTCCTGCGACGGATTTCCACAAAAAATAAATCAAATCAATAAGCGATGAATGATTTATAAATACGGGTATTACGGCACTTGAGAAATGATAGGATTCATTTATAAAGCGTAACAAAAGCCGCGCGCACAAAGGGAGCCATCAGTCAGAAGTCATAAGTATGCACTCAATGGCGGGTGTCAAAACAC